CTCTCCTCTCTTGAAGCCTTTGTAAGACAGGTACCCCCTCTTTCTCTCTCTTAATAATGCCCATCAAACTTATAGTATGTTATCATTTCTTTTACAAACTATAGGACAAAAGCAAAATAATATAACCATCAATAAAGAATATCGATAATAATTAACAGGTTTTTTACCCGACAACGTTAACTTTTACGAGCGGAAGATTTGAGTATTCGGAGCTGGACAGACCTACCCCATCTCCAACTCGAAACCGACCTTTTCTTGTTCCATTATATGTCCATGTGGTTGGTTGGTTGGTTCTAAAGAATCTACGAACATGTCTTCCTCTTGTATAACTCATCATCTACTTTCATTTTGTTCTTTACCTACCCTTCAAAATCCGACCTCACCCTTGAAAGTTCAATGATATTTCGTGTTACGTATACATATGTATTTATTTTTTTGCTGAATTTGTGTTTGTTAATGGGTATTATAGGCGGACAATTTGAGGCACCAAACACTTCACCGATTGCATCAAATGTTAACGACTCGTCAAGCCGCAAGGTGTTTGCTAGCCATTGCAGAGTATTTCCATCGACTTCGAGCTCTTAGTTCCTTGTGGTTGGCTCGTCCAAGGCAAGATTAAACCAAATTACAACCCTTTTTAAGTCCTAAAACTTCTCCCCCTTCTCATACTTCCTTAACTCTCCATCTCTGAGATAACTATAGAACAATATAGATATATAGACAAATATACCCTTCTGTCTCGCTCACTCCATCGTTATAACTAAACAAATATAAAAGAAAAAATAGATAACAGACAAATAATATATGTCGGTACGATCTTATCAGTCATGCAACGTCTGTAATATGATAGACTCTATGTTCTCTTAATTGATCATATTTATATATTTTCAACCGCAACAAGTACAAAATTCAAACTTTGGTTCTGTTAGGTGAGGACGTTGGATAATCATATCTTAAATAATCTCTTAAGAGTTCGTTAATTTTTTATTAGAATAGTGTTTAGAACAATACATGTTAATTATCGTTGAATTACGGGATTCGGATGATTTGCAATCAAATATATTTATTAAAAAAGTGTGATGATGATCCTCCATGGCTTAAAAAAAAATGAAAATAGGACCACAATTCAAAATTTTTAATTATGTAGCCATGCAAACCAAGACAAATAATAATAAATATTATTATTATTATTATTTATTCCCTCTGTACCACTTTTTTTTTTAATTGTATTAGGGTTTCCCTTGATTTTGACCCTATACCAACCTTCAAAAATATTTATATTTTTTTAAAATTACGTTTTAAGCGGTGTTTTTTTTTTCTATAACACCCAAGTTCACAGTTAGTAGATATTGTCTGCTTTGGCTTATTACGTGTCGTCATCAACCTCACATTTTAAAATGTGTTTATTAGGAAGAGATTTTCACACTCTGTCGTTCTCTTTTTCAACTGATGTGGGATCTCACCGTCCACCTTCCTTGGCAGCCATCTAGCTCTAATGCCATTTGTAACAGTCCAACTCTACTGCTAGCAGATATTGCTATTTTGGCCCGTTACATATCGTCGTCAGTCTCACGATTTTAAAACGCATCTACTTGGGAAAGGTTTCTACTCCCTTATAAGCTTTATTCTCCTCTCCAACCAATAAGATATCTCACAATTCACCTCTTTAGGGGCCAACATCCTCGCTTGCACACCGCCCAATGTCTTGCACTGATACCATTTATAATAGTCCAACCTCACCACCCGTAGATATTGTCCGCTTTTACCAGCTATGTATCGTTAAAATTTAACCCTCCATTTGCACGTATATTAAAATTTTAAAATATGGGCCATTGGTGCATGGGATCACAATCATACGCTATAAAATGGATCAAAATAGACCAAGTTTAATAGAGTAGATTGCTCCCTCCCTATCACCACAATGAACACCATGGCCACCATCTTTCATAACATCACCTCTCCCTCTCAATTTTGGTGCTTTTGGTTCATCACTGCCCTCCTCCTTCATTTCTTCCTCAAAAAACTTCTCCCAAACCCTAAATCCTCGATCCCGGGCGGTCACGCACCGCCCCCAAGCCCACCGGCCCTCCCTCTCATTGGCCATCTCCACCTTCTCACCCCAGTTCTAGTCACCTCCTTCCAAACCCTAGCTCGTCGTTATGGCTCCCTCATCGAGCTTCGACTCGGCGCATCCAAATGCGTCGTCGTCTCTACCGCTGCAGTCGCCAAAGAGGTCCTCAAAACTCATGAGCACAATTTCCTCTCCCGACCCGAATTCGGCGCCTCCGAACACTTCATCTACCGAGGGTCGAGATTCGTCATGGCTCCCTACGGACCCTATTGGCGATTCATGAAGAAACTTACCATGACACGGCTTCTCTCGCCGCCACAGCTTGCTATCGCCGCCGCAATCCGAAGGGACGAGGTGGGTAAACTAGTGGAGAGAATTGAAGCAAATTCAAGAGGAAAGAAACCATCGGATTTGAGATTGGAATTTACCACTTTGACAAACAATATCATATCAAGAATGCTTTTGAGCACAAGATGTTGTGATGGAATTGATGAAGCTCAAGAAGTTCAAGATTTGATGTGGAAGATCAATAGGCTTGCTGGGAAATTGAGTTTGGGAGACATTTTGGGACCTTTGAAAGTACTTGATTTCTCTGGAAATGGCAAGAAATTTGTTACAACTATGAAGAGATTTGATGGGTTGGTTGAGAGGATAATGAAGGAGCATGAAGCCGCCATTAACGGCGGTGGCCATCCCGACCCCGACCGAAAATTAGACGTATTGGACATCTTGCTCGAGTGTCACAACGATCCACATGCCGAGATGAACATATCAAGAAAAGATATCAAATCCTTCTTGCTCGTGAGTTTATTATTTTAATTTTTGCATGTTTTTTTTAGGAATCACGATTTTCTATAATGATATGATATTGTTTACTCTTAGGATCTTTTCATGGCGGGCACTGACACGACAGCCACGGCTATACTATGGGCGATGGCGGAGCTTTTGAATCGTCCAAAATCAATGGAGGAGCTAAGAAAAGAGATAATTTCGGTGGTTGGAGAGGAGAAGCTAGTTCAAGAATCCGACCTCCCTAACCTCCCATATCTCCGGGCGGTGGTGAACGAAACACTTCGGCTGCACCCATCGGCGCCGATGATCATCAGAGAATGTTTAGATGACTGCATCATCAACGGCTCACTAGTCAAGGCGAAAACACGAGTCTTGGTCAACGCTTATGCTGTCATGAGAGACCCAGAATCTTGGTCGGAGCCCGACAGGTTCTTGCCTGAGAGGTTTCTGGAAGGGTCACATGAGAACATTGGTAGCCACCGTATGGAGATGAAGGGGCAAAATTTCCGGTATATTCCGTTTGGGAGTGGGAAGAGAGGTTGCCCTGGTTCCTCCCTTGCCTTGTTAGTTTTCCCATGTGCAATGGCGGCCATGGTGCAGCGGTTTGATTGGAAGGTTGACGGAGACGGCGACGGCGACACCATCGATTTGACACCCGGCCCAGGTTTCGCTGCCGAGATGGCAACACCGCTCGTTCGTTATGCCAACCCCATTAATAAGAATATTTAAATATAAACGGTATGTCAAAAGGTGTATAAATACATCTCCTCAGTTTCTCCAAGTCAATTCGAATATAATTCAATAAAATAATTCGAAAAGTAATTATAATTAAAAATTTTAAAGAATTAATTAATTAATTTCCGTACCATAAATAATCAAAGTGATAATACAAAAATTTATGGAAAAACATCATTAAAATTGGACTTTTGTATAGTTATTTGTTTGTACGCTCAAATTTTCTTTAAAAGTTAGTGAAATTTTTAAATATTGGATAAAATAACATTTTTTATCAATGGGATATATTTTATATTTATTATTATATTTAACTACTCCATAATTATTAAATGGAAAATTATTTTTTCAACTCAATAATTGGAGGGACCATGATAATAAATATATAATAAAAAGAAAATAAGTTTAAATTAATTTGAAGTTTTGTGTTTATTTCAGAGTTTTAAATATTTTATTTTGATCAAGAATTATGAATAAATAAATAAAAAGAAACCCAAAAGTCTCAAAAAAAGTAGACTTAGACTGTGAGGCTAACAACGAAACATGACGGGTCAAAATGAACAATATTTACTAATAGTGAGCTTAGACTACTATAAATGATATCAAAGTCAAACACGACGCTCAACCCTCATGTGGGTGGATTGTGAGATCGCACGTTGCAGTTAATTACAAATATAAATATAAAAAATAAAATTAAATATTTAGAAAAAGAGAAAAAAAAAAAAAAAAAAAAG